GAGCTACAATCACTTCAACACAGGAGTTGAACGGCGGATCGTCTTCTGGAACCTATGCGCAACAACTCAGCACGCACGCCACCTTCGAGAAAACCGAATCACGGGCATTGCGACACAGCACACGTGACCCATCCTGCTGCCTGACATTCGACCGGTGCGGCGCTAATGGAGAGCCCACACGGTGACTCAGCCAGGCACACGCTAGTTGCATTCGTTTATTCTCAGTGCCAGCCTCACAGGCACAAAAACCGCTACGAACCGCCGCAAAGCCGCTCGGCCGACTACGCTGTTCTGTCGAATCGGTGAGACCTGTTTGCCGATCGGCGGTTTGGGGATATGGTTGAGCTGTCTATGGCCTACGGTGAGCTGATGCAGTGAGATGCGGTGAGCTGCAGCGGTGAGATGCTGTGAGTTGATGCGGGCATCCCGTTCAAGCTATAAGCGCGGATGGGAGTTATGTCTGTCTGCTGAGACAGCAAGAGCAGGATAGGACAACAGAACAACAAGGAAAGCAGAAATGGCGCCATTTGGGACCCGCGCCAACCGTGACTCGGCGGAAACACGGCTGAACCGAGCGGCGCGGCGGCCGCGACCTTGACACGCCAGCTATGCCGGTAGCGTCTGCAGCCGCGATACGCTATCGGAGCCAATGGGCGCCGACTGGGCGGGGGCGGGGGCGGGGGCGGGAGCGGGGCGGGGGTCCAGACGTCAGCGGCGGCCCGCTCCGCCGACCAGGAGAGCAGGCCGCGCCGGCTGCACCGACAGCCTGGAGAGTGAGACGATCTGTCAGGTGGCACCGCCAAATCGCAACCGCTCGACGCACAGCTCTAGTGGTTGGTGATGATTGTGATTTGGTTTTTGGGGCGCCCAGGCCACGCTCGGTCAACGCACAGACCTAGAGAAGCCTGTAAGGTATTGAGACAGCAGCCATTGATTCCGGCTAGTCGGAACACTGTCACCTGACATAGCATCAGACACCAATGCACGTCTGCGCGACACTGCACCGATACAATCAAATGGGCAGAGTTTCACAGTGTCCAGCCAGGTCGGACTGAGCCGGATCCATCCAGACCAACCAGGACACCGCTCTCCGCCAATGAACTGGCCAGGCCTACATCAAACGGTCGACAGGAGCGGCCGCCATTGGCGGCACCGATATATCCCCCGGGACCCGAGGGGCCCATGGGCCTCTCCATGGGACTATGGTCCACACCACGATTACATGATTCTGCCCAAACTGAGTGGGTGTCAGGCGGACATTCTCGGACGCGGGCTGACAAATCCAGCCACCGCCGACCGCCGCCGCCGCCGCTGCAACGTCCGCTGCGCGCAGAAAGTCAATAGGCGGCCGTGAGTCAGGCGGGGTGAGCGACCGGGCAGACAGCGACAAGGTCAGACGGGAGCAGCACGCGCGCTGGAGACGCACCGACCGGAGGGGAGACGATCGGCGACGGGTGGCGCCGTCACATTGTCACACGTAGCGTAACGACGAGGAGCAGAGGCTTCTACAGTGCTGATGGTGTCGGGCATTGGCTCAGACGGTGTAGAAAACCGCAGAGGCGACGGCGTTCGATAACGCGCCAGCGCTAAGGTCAGGCCGACGCACCGTCTTCGTCTGCCACCGTCTGGGCAGCGGGCGGACGTAAACAGACGGCGACTGCCCTCGACAGGTCCCCAGGCGAACAGAGGCGCTTCCAGACATCCTGGGGAGCCATTCCACACAGCAGGTCACCGCGGAAACTCCACCCGCCGAGGCGGTGAGGGCAGCACGGAGAGGACGATATCAGAGGTCTGCGGAGAGGAGAGCGTTACTAAAGCGCTCCTGCCATTGTTAAACGAATAGCATCCCTTGGACATGTGCCGCCGTAGCCCAGGTAGCCGCTCGTTTCTGGCAGTACCCTGTCCTGGAATCAGGACTGCGGCGGTAGCGGTCAGCACCGTGCAGTGCGAGCGGAGTCGCCGCCCAGCCGGCGCCGCTCGGTGAAGTATGCACGGGCGGCCTCAGGACACGGGTTCCCCGAACGGTCCGCCAGGATATGGACCGCGTGCCGACCGGACCGTCAGCGAGGCCAGCGGCGGCAGGGCGGGCAATAGAGCCGCCCTCCTGCTCAGTGAGTAGTGATATAAGGACGAAATTTGTGCTGACCACATCATAACAGCATAAACAGCATTAAATGAGTTATATATTTTAAATGGATGAAATTTTTCGTTGCGAAGCGCTTAGTCGAACATCATTCATTTGGTCAATATCGCAGATCCCATTTGGTTCTGCACAGCACGGAGCAGCAGCACCACGGGGATCCGATGATCTCCTCCTGTGCTACTCAATAACCTGAACCCAGTGCATCCTGTCCTCCCGTGTCCGTGTCCTGTCCTGTCCGACCGCATGGTCCTATCACTCACACAGCCCCACACACAGACGGCGGGCGCCAGAACTGGTTTCTCAGGCCCACCGGCCGCCAGTGTCCTGCAAAAATGCACCGCCGCCGCCGGGCCACCGGACGGTGCTCAGGGACCCGCCAGCACGGCAGTACCCAGTACATACACACACACCGGCATGGCGGAACGGCCAGCAGCACACGGGCCGGGCGGACCGCCGCGCCGGCCGGCCGCTCCAATTTCGTCAGCTGTGTGGGGCGTCCGCTGAGTATCGACGGCCTGCGGCGGTGGGGGCGGGGAGCGGGAGGACGGCCAGGGTCACTGTCACGCCTGCTGCCGGGGCCGTCACAGAGGCAGGTCTAGCCAGTCATGTGGTCAGCGATCGCCGCGAGGCGTCCGTGCGTTCAGTAAAGCCAGCGCCTGTCGCGCGGACCGACCACCCAGCCGTGCACCTGCTGGCTCCAAGGCCATGGTAATGGCCGGCCAATGGACCCGCCCCATCCGGCCTTCCCACCCACAGCTCAGTCAGTGAGCTGCTATAGCACCTACCTCCCCAGCGCATACTCCGCCTCCATGGCCATATCCTCTGCCTACCGGCCGTGGCTAGCCGGTCCGGTCCGGACCTCCGCAGTCTCCACTGTCACTGTCAGCTCACTCCGCTGCCGAGCTGCCGCCCCGACTGAGCCGCGCCGCGCCGCCGCACTGAGGGCCGGCCGCCGACGACGACGGCGCCGCGCCTGTGTGTTTACGGCGCCCGGTAGGCATTCAGTGCAGACCCGCCTCCGCAGCTCGGCCCGCAATGCTCCTCAGTTGCGCAACAGAGTCGACGGTTTTCTGGTTCCAAAACGCACAGAGTTGGAGTGGGCGAATATTCGGGCTCACAATCCAGTCAAGTTAGTTCAGGATACTACGATAGAAAAAAAATGGTGGCACCACTTTTTATAACTACAACGGGCAATCAATATCCCAAATGCTGACTTACAATCGAGCAGTCCACAGTGCGAAAATCGAAGTTATTACCGCCAAACATCACATGAATATGGCATCAGCTTCAGCGTAGCTGAACAGTAAATCAGAGACATTGTAAAGTCATTCTCAAAACAACCCATCACAACTCCTCAGAATGCAAACACCAGAGCTTTATATTCAAGACAGCGTCGTATGCCACACGGCGCTCCATAATGTTGCCTTTTGACTACCAGGAATCAGGATCTCATATTGCGACTGTTCTCCTGGGATATCAGGGTGGGCTCAAAAGCGGCAGCTCCATTGCGTAACGTTTATCGAAGCAAGGCGAGGGCTGATGAGACGCCGCAATTCGTCGGCACTTTGCGCGCTTCTGGCGAAACTGTAAGGCCCGAGGAATATCCCAGATATTTCAAGGATATAACAGCATGATGTTCAGTGGTGAAAAGTAGCACCGTAACCCGGCGAAAGGTCCTGGTAACGGTGGAAAGTTACCATGATCAACGGGCTCATTGAGATAACCCGGAATGGGAAAGTTTTGCTTCCTAGAGCTCACTTAGCATTTCCCTGCAAATAGCTCAAGGAAGTCACTCCACTAACTTGTCCCTTCTGAGAATAACATTATTTATCAAAGTCTCATGGACTTCCTGAAAGGCCGACCCAATATTGTCGCTGCAATACCTGTGAGAGGGTCGTCTGACGTCTGCATATTTGACTCAGGAAGGGCGGCGCCAGTGACTGGCTTCTAGCCGAACGCATCTTATCACCGTGAGTTGGCATAACTCAGCCGCGTTCGACGGCGATCACCTAGCGTCGACGGGGAGGAGCAGTGTACGGCCGAGGTGGAAGCTGCCGGTCAGAACGAGTGCAAAAAAAAAAACTGGTTCCTAGTTCGAAAATTCTCAAGTTCATTGTTTGGCAGTTAAAATGCAACTCATATTACAAACAGGAGCGTAGTCACACAATCGCCAGATTCTAGAAAGCCGCTAGCCGCCCGAGAGCCGCTATTTTTAGAACATGGGTGTCGTAGGAATAGCGGCAATAGCCGTCGCGCCTACTGTAATCTGGGGAAGTGGGTCAGTCTGGAGCCGTGGGGGACAATCGGAGCGTCCTCAGGCGGGCTCCGGTCCCGGTGCGGCCGTCCCATTCGAAGGGACACCCCAAAGTGGAGCGAGGCAGTCGGGCACCGCCGTTGTCTAGCGTGACAAAACGCAGCCGTGGTGCCCTGGTGGAAAATATCACAAGACAGACCGAGGCGGGTAGTGGGACTTCAGGGTGAAGCCTACCCGCTCTCACACATCGAACGGTGACAGATATGGAGAACGAACTATGCCATAAATTCGCAATCGTGTCGTTGTGGAACCCAAAATAAATTTGATAGAGATGGGGCACCAATATGGGGAATTTAGTCACAAAATACAAATGCATCATGTAGGTAAAAACGCGTTATTATGACTGGATTACGCAAAAAAACAGAGGACCAAACCGACGCAAAAAAAAATTGTGCCTTTCATCATTCTTTCCAGGCTTGAATGCGAAAAGTAAATGTTGATCGAAATGCGAAAGCGTAATTCATTTAGGTCATTCAGAATGAAATGGGAACCCGCCCATGAAAACACAATACGATGAAATGGGGACAATGAAAACTGCCTCACCTTTCACTGAGTTTACGGTTCACCACGCTGACGGAAGCCGGCAGGGCCGATCAGCCGAGCAGCAGAGCCATCTACCGGCCCCAGATCACAGCACAGGCTTTTGGAGTCATCCACAGTACAGCGACACTAGTCGAATGCCTAAAACGTGGAGTGGAGCACAGACCAATGATCAGTGATCATGACATTATTAGAACTCAAAGACACATTGTCTAGCTGTTACAACATTGCAAACATAAGGACAACATCTAGCTGGTTTCCACAAGCCTTCACCTGCACCTAGCATTTGCAAGCAGCACTAGAAAATTTGTCAGACATTTTTAGCATTGGACAAACACAATGTTTTAGGAAACAGTCTTAGCATAGGTAGTGTCAGAAAGTTGGTCCATCAGGAAGCACAACGGCCCCCCCCCCCCTACGGGGCGCGGGTTAATTAACACATAGCGTTTCTTCAATAGAGCTTTCGAAGGACAAACCTTATCAACCGAATAACAGAAGTCTGTCACCAGTGGTAAAATGGACTGCTATAAAACTTCGCCAGCATTAAAGTCTCATTAATTTGATATGATAGACTGTGATAAGATACCAGCAATTGTAGTACAACATGACAGGTGCCTAAGCAAAATACAATGAACAGAAACTGAAAAACATTTTCAAGTTGAATACAAGTTACATTTAGTATTAACCTTGGTATTAACTGCTCTTTCTGCAATCAATATCATCAATATCATAGCAGTGGCATCATAAGATGATCACCCACTGATGATCACCAACATAGCACTTTTGCTTTGCTTATCACATATAATCCTCCAAAGGAAAACAATTTTGAAGATGTTTACATGCATTAATTCTACTAAGCTAAGCATGAAATGACTGAAAAATAGGACTTCAAATGAAGAAAAGGATTCAGAGTACAAATTATTCATGATGTTTTGCTTCCCTCCTTACTTTCTACTGCTGCTCAGGCAATTGAGCAATAAAATGAAATTGAAAAGGAAGAAAAAAAAAGCAAACAGGAATCCACTACACAGCTTTAAGTAGGTGACCACTGGTGGCCTGCAGGCTGCTGAGGTGGAGCTGTCATCACATACATTTGACTTAGGGTTGATTTCCAAAGCAATAGACACTGGCAGCAGAGAAACAGGACTACATAAGCCCTCTGTGTAGTGTGAAATGTAGTCACTTCATGTTCCTGCACAGCTTTCAACACTAAATTCAAAATTAACTAGTTGATCTAAATTAATTTACAACAATTATAACTTAAATTTGATACCCACTAAATCATGCCTTCTATGACTATTGACTATATATATATATATGTCCTGGAACCCTGTAAAAAACATAACACTGGTGATTTCCTCCTTCTGCAGTTTGCACCCTTTGAAAACTGAAGAAATTCACAAAACAAGAACATGAAAAGAAAGAACACATCCTTCTAAGGTTAAAAAGTGAGACCACTCATCAATAATGATGATACTTTTTACACAAGCCTTTATAAGCTACACCCAACCTGCAACCACATGTTCAGTCATGCAAGGTTATGTTACATTATGTAAGGTTAGGACTTAGGACAGGTGAGGTTAGATAAGGTTTTGTTATTTCTGCTCGTAGTGTCAGTGTACCCGACTTTTTACAGCATTTATTGATCGTATGCACAATTTTTCCCAAACTAGTGGGCATGTGAGATGCATGCTGTAAGAATAACCAATTTTCTAGGTCTATATATGTTTTATGACAATACAGTGAGGTTTTTATTCAATTTTGAGTCATGGGGGCGATTTCAAATGGTGATTACACCATCAATATTGATGAAAGCATGACAGTCTAATGATATTCATCATTCCCACTCACTATAGCCAAAAATATTGCCAATCTCAATCACATAACTGACAACACATACAAATTGAGAATACTCACTTGCCTGGTTTTCTTATTGACATCAGACCAGGGCAAGGACATCCAGCGACCAGCACCAAGAAGAACTGGAATCAAATCAGCAAATCAAAGTGGAACTGGAAGTTGGAACAGCTTCAACTTCAGCTGAAAAAAATCAGAATCAGCTCAAATATCTCCAGGTATCTGAAGAAACAAGGTAAATCATGAAAAATTTCATGAAATAAAATGAAACGGTACAGGTTGAGGCAACTCAAACTTTCCTCCAGTTCAAGTTGTGAACTTCCTCTTTCACCAACCTTTCTCAGCATTCAACAAAGGCATGTAAAAACACTCATTCAACCTTTAGAAGTGCATACAAGGCACAATTTAATTTTTGCATAGTGCTTAGCGTATCTATTTACCGTGCCTTGAGGGTGGGGGCCGCCTGTGGCGTAAAACCTTGCGTAAAACGCTTGGGAAAACGCTTCAAGCACAGACATATCAACAACAAGGAAACTCATAAATGACGCAGTTGTTACATATATGAAAACAGGCAGTTACTAAATTATTTGTCTGTAAGAAAAGCAGCTTCTCGGGAAACAAACCTTAGTTTACACTGGAGTAGGCAGTAGAGTGTTTAGCTTACACTAGAGTGGGGTAGGCCCAAAATATTTCGTGTTGCTGGGGTAAGAAGCCCCATGCGCTAGAATAAAAATTAGGGATGGTAGTTGGCGAAATATTGTATAGGAATTAGGAGGGCTGATGGATAGGCGGCGGAAAGACCCCCTCTTTCCGTATCGGATTCGTACTAGTAGGTAGGCCAAAGAAAATGATGCCACCCCTGGGCGCGCGTCGCAACAATGAAACCATGGACGAAACCGTTTATATAAAAAGTGCGGATTGCTCGCACCAGTTTTTTTTTGTGGGGGGCGTATGCAGGCGCCTGACAAGCGTTACGTTGCACTAAACTGTTATTGCTTCCCAACCTCTTTTTTAGCATGGATGCCATCAGAGGCGCCCCTTTAGGCTCTTTCGCATGCATGATGCAGTACGCTCCGCCACTTTAGGCGGAGCATCCCTCTGCGCGTACGACGGGCCTACGCCACTAGAAACGGGCGGTCGAGGTCGACGGCCGCGACAACGGCGGCTGGCGGCGGCTGGTGACTCAGTCTGCAGTCAGGTGGAGCTCGCACTGAGTCGCGAGTGACGATTGTGGCAGTGATCGTCCAATGCGCTGTATCGTCCGCCTGGATCGGCCGATTAGTGACCACTGACCACTGACCACTGACCGCTTTAGCTGAACTTCGAACCCATGAGGCGTGGCAACTGGCATCCGTGAGCATTTAAATTGAACACGCAGCGTGCGTGGGTGGTCGGCAGCGGGTGCACCCGCTCCATGGAGACGGATCTGGCACGTTAGGCAGTGTGTGGAGACGGATCTGACGCGGTCGGCAGCGGGTGGAGACGGATCTGGCTCGGCCGGCAGCGTGTGGAGACGGATCTGGCGCGCCCGGCAGTGTGTGGAGACGGAAATGGCGCGGCCGGCAGCGGGTGGAGACGGATCTGACGCGATTTGTACGCCTGCCTATCGGTTGAAGACGGAGTGTGCAACAATTTGACATCCGGCACTTGACCTGACGACACTCTGATCATTCCCTTGCACGATGTCTTCCCCAATCATTACGTTTCTATGACACGCTTAATAGATTTAGCTAAATTTAACGTGCGTTTTTCTCGGATACTATTCACTAAATGACAAAAAAAATGAGAGTAGTTATGGCTTTAGCTCCCACTTAATCCTATACCTATTTACAGTTTCAATGATATCTAAATGATATGATCGAGAAACCCATTTTGCACAATCGGATGAACAATGTGCCTTCGCCTTGGAAAGTAGTCAATGTCCAACATCTTGACCAATCTCCGAATAAAAAATGTGCTGCCAGTTAATGCGTTCAAGAGAACCAATTTTTGTGACATAATAGGTACCGAGCTTTAGCTCATCGATCCAACGGTCGGACTCCACTGAAAAAGGTGGCCGCACATTAACCCTCGCCCTGGCAGGGCATTTTTCATAACACGGCCTGGCAGGGGGGGGGGGGGTCGATGCGACCCCCCCCCTCGCGATTGGCTCCTATGGCACCTAGAAACACCAAATTTGGTAGGTAGGTGGGCCCCCTGGAGTTCTCGCCCCTGTGCAAATTTGGTTGCTCTAGGTCAATATTTAGGGGGGTTTTGGGGGGTATAAATGTAAAAATTTCGCTAAAAACAGGTCAAAAGTTTTTCGCTTATAACTTTTGATCTAATTAAGATAGAGCAAAAAGAAAAGCACCAGTGAACTCAGCACGTCAAGGCGCGTCGAATGATATACTTTTTAGCTTGTTTAAGTGTACTTAAAGTTTTTCTTAAATTTTAAGTAAACTTAAATTTATAAATTAAGTTCAAGTTAACCAAATTGCGTCATATCGCATATCATTCGATTCGGCTGATTACCAGGAACACAATGATACCATTTTTTAAGCTCTAGCGTCATTATGTGCCAAGTTATTGACAAAAACGTCATTTGACCTCAGTTGACCTCATTTGACCTGACCCATGGATAAGTACACCAAACAAAGAAGCACCAAGTGACCTGCTGTTAAGTACTGTGATTTCAAAGCACAAAAATGATAGAACGAAGCGGATAACTCCAGTATTTTCCGAATTTAGTATTTTCCCATAGGCTTAACATTACGACGTAATGACCTCTAACTGACCTCAGGTCGGTGACCTCAAAAAACCCGAACTATATGTTATACAACTCGGTGAACTTAGCACATCCTGAAAGTTTGAAGGAACTCAGTGCAAAACTGTGAGTTGGACAGGTGCAAAAAGAAAATTGAAATTTGACCATGACCTTGTACCGGTTTTTCTGACCTGGTGACCTGACCCAAGGTCACCCGGACCTGAAATTTTCAGGTCATATGTAAAAAGGTTGCCCCATAGGCTATGCCAAATTTGGCGGCGCTGCGCGCCGCCGTTTTTACGCTATCTTCGAAAAACCTTAGGGGGGGGTCGCATCGACCCCCCCCCTGCCAGGGCGAGGGTTAAAGTGACCATCCCACCTTATTTAACATTAGTTTTGAGTTGAGATAGCCAAAATGGGGTCCCTGGCTTGCACTTACCGGTTTGAGCACTCATAACATCGAGAAATGACTCAAATAAAAAAAACTAATTTCAAAGTTGCAGCACTTTGGATTCAGAGGGGCTAATGCATTACCTACCCCCCCCCCCTGAATGTGTGACGTCAGCGCAGATCTTTTACTATATAAAACGTTAAAAGCACCCCCTGGGCTTGGAAAGTTGTCATAGATCAAAGATCCTTATGTCGGTGGATGCTTTCACAGTCGTGTAGTCGTGTAGATATATTCATGTAGACAGCATAGCTGCGGGGAAGCGAATTCAAACACTTTCGCGTGGGAATTTTACGGCGCCGTTGGGACACCCCTGGAAAGCACCCCTATACATTTTCGCAATGCTCCTCTCATGTTTGTAAACCATCAGAAAATCAACTGGTCATCGGTGTACCAAGTGGCGGCAAATAGGTAGGAGTTCAACACTCAATAGTAGATGGTTGTAGCGAAGGGTGTCATGTATTCAACTTCATGCCTGCCTCATGACATGAATCAAAAACATTTACATCTAACGGCAACAATGTCTCATCACATACACGGTGCAGTACAAATAAACAGCTCAAGCGGCTTATATCTATGGATGCTTAGCACCTCAGCTTTCAGAGTAGCAGCATGAGGAAAACGTTTTCTGCGAGATAAATTGTGTTGACTGTAGGTATGTACTATGTACAATAACATCACTGTTAGGCGTTATTATGCAATCCTAACGAACTATTAAAAAGAACAAATCTCGAGTGGCGAACGCGTTCAAATTTACTAAAAGCCTGCATTGTTATTCACCCAATGTTAGGTTCCACACACAAACACATGCATGAAGGCTGTATATTCACTTCCTCCGAGAAAGTTCTTCGCTAGCGTTCAACATTGACATGTTTAACTTAACTTTACAACTTGGCCGTGTTTATTCAACAGTGCATCAGTGCAGATGATCACATGTTACGGACAGATAACCAATGGCTTTCAGTGCCAATACAGGTAGAAGGTATAGTAGACCTCTCATACTGTCCCACAATCGGTGCCTTCCTCGGAGACCCGCGCCCGCTTCGGGAAGGTCAGTGACACGAACACTCGCTGATGCTGACCAGAGACTTTTCCCGGCCATCCTCTGTTCGGTAAAAGTGTTCTCTGCTAGCGGAGGCGACACAACCGCGGACCTGGTACTGCAGAGACATCAGACACTTGGAGGTCACCGGATCGCTGTGAACACATAGCGGAGTAGTGGTGTCAATTTCAGAAAACGTATGTCCAAAGTCCGTCCAATGTCCAATGCTTACGTCAATTGTCCGTCTAAAAATGTCCAAGCCAGCCATTTGTCCAAAGAGGTCCGACACCTACGCAATAGTTTACACTCATCACTGTTATTTAATTTGCTTTTCATGTACCGTTACAAGCTCAAAAGTGTTAAGCATATCGAAAGCTGAGCCTTCTAATAGCCAATCAATGTTAAACACGACTACTTTTTAAAAATGTTGAGGTGTAGCAAGCGATTGTCCAAAGTTGTCCAAAGCCTGCTGCCATTGTCCAACCGAATTCCGAATTGGACATTGGACAAAATCGGAATTCCGAAGATTCAAGTTCCGATTGACACCACTATAGCGGAGTAAGGGTCAGCGGGGACCGGGGGAGAGAGAAAGAGAGTAAGAGAGAGAGAGAGGAGAGAGAGAGAGAGAGAGAGAGAGAGAGAGAGAGAGAGAGAGAGAGAGAGAGAGAGAGAGAGAGAGAGAGAGAGAGAGAGAGAGAGAGAGAGAGAGAGAACTTCAATTAACTTAAAATTGAAACGCCTTTTGATGTCACATGCACGCACTGACACGAACCGTCTCAAGATCGTGAATAAAAAAGAATGGGTAAAGGAAAACATTATTTATTGAGGAGGTTGCCTGATATCCTCGATCTAATACAGTATTCCGTTCCCGGTTCCTCATTCAGTCATGCCTATTTTAGATTCGCATATAGGTAATCGTTTATACCCGCCTAACAACCCTCCCGGTCGAATTAACAACAAGTGGCCCTAGCTCGAGCTGCTAGCCATGATCTGACTCCATTTAGCATTATTTCCGGTATTCTATGTCACAGAAGCGTTCCTGAGACACATCATCACACTCCTGAACCGCTCCCGGGTCGCCGGATCAAACTCAATTACATCTACTCACAAGTTGAGCCGCCCACGCGCGACGGAAACACAGTATGATTTATCGGCCCACAAACGGAGCCGGCTGCTCTCGTGCCAGTGACGTCATCAGTTTATTTGCATACGGGCGGGACTGATTGATCGAGACCGGTCGACAGGTGGCCGGGCTAAAGGTGCCGGAAATGATATCTTTTATGTTTAGATGGCCGTTTTCATGACGGCTATCAGGTACCTACACATTTGGTTCGCATTTGGTGCAGATTTCGTCAAATTAGGTTCATTGTGCGACGAAGTACCTATAGTTGTCAGTTTGGGTTCCAAAAGTTGCTTACCTTTTAGGGGAGACCGGTTTCCAGTTGAAAAACCTAACGCACATCCATTCGAGTGCATTCTACAGCACAGCTCAGTGCATTTTAATTTTCAATAGAACACGTAGGTACTTACATGCCTATTTCAAGGTAACAAATGATGAAAAGCTTGAGGAAGGTATATAGAAACCAGCAAACTTGATGAACGTTTTGCACTTTGTGAGTAGATATTATATGTGAGTAAATATGCACAACGTCCACATACGCCGAGCGACCCACGCCATTGACAGTCACTTGTGCGAACTACTGGGAACGGAACTGCAACGCAGCACAAGAAGGTATCCCGGAGACTGCGCTGGCGCTTAGAAAGATAACACCAATCTGCCGCGCTTCTCTGCCGTACGACAAGGGCCGTCGTCAGTCTGTTTGGGATAATGGAAATAGGCTGGACGGATGTGAATAAACTGAGCGGGTTTGTGGCTTATTCAGGTGTTCATTACATATACCTTGAAGCGACTTAAATATTGGTAACTTGACGATGACTTGACCACCGTGGTCAAATCATAATCAAGTCAGTAAAGGCAATGCATTGGCATGATCTCTGGTTAACTTATATTTTTGTTAAAAGATCGAATTCAAAAGGACTGTCCAGATGCAAGTGAGAGAACCAATAGCAAAAGATCGTGACATAGCTAGCACTATCTCTTTACCGTGTGTTTTACGCGATGATGAGCAGCTAAAATCACCTATCTCACCTGTAGACGCAGTCCCGTCCGTGCTGCTCCCTGGTGCACGTTCCTATACACTGGCCGACGTCCACCACCTGAAACACGGCCGGAAAATGGACGACGCTCACATTGCATGGCACGCGACTATGACATAAATGGTACTTCAACGTTAAGAAGATAATGGGTACCTAAGTAAGAAATGAATGAATATTTCTTATCGTCGTCTCTCTGCAATACTAAATGCTTTGGCGAATAAAACATACCTCGCCATAGGTACCTAAAATGTGCTTACTATTTATCATCGCCAGGCAGTGACCACGGTTACAAACCTTTATGTGCGGCTTTCGTGAGTCGGTATAGTCGTAAACTTGCTCCATCAGTGCCATCCTGTAGCAGCCGTGGGTGCACGTGCACTCTTCTATGACAGATATCACCTCGGCACCTAAAATGATGCAAAGGTATAACAATACTTTAAAATAAATTAACGTGGCTATATTCAAAGACATGACATCATGCTGGCCTATTGACGAAGTCACGGATGAGATAGTACTGTGTCACCCATGACGAAGTCAAATAAGTAAACGTGGCAAACATGCACGATGTTTTTCTTTTTGTTATGTGCTTTACCTATTCCAAAAACAAATGGCGAACTAATGTTACTACTCTCTTCCCATTTCTACATTCACTTGTCTATTGTTTTCAAAGTATTTTACTTAAGTCCTTTTTTCAAGTATCAAGGCCAGTAATTTTAAGCTAAAGGGCTTATCAGCTTAAATGAACGTTGCCACTACTCAGTACTCACCATTGGGACCATGAATAGATACTGTTCTATTTTTCAGAGGTAGACAGCTGTCCGCTGAAAATGAGTTCAGGGTTGTCAATAAAATGAACCACACTGAAACTCCCGAGCGTCAAATAATAGTTATGTCCTGTTCTATGAATGCACGATACAACTGTAGAAGTCTTTCATTGAGCACGTCATACACATAAACCGTCCGTTAAAATGTGACATCATGACGATACGTGACATTCATGGCCATTTTTTAAAGCGTTCAACCAATCAAGCGTGACTGACACGTTCATAACGGCGACATTTACGGTCGTTTATAGGGGGAGATTGTCCTCGTACTGATACCGTTCATCAATAAAATGGACACGTGGCGAAGTTTCCGAATCCAAACCGTTATCCACAATCATCAGTGTCGCACCCCCTGACAGGGTCCACGTCTAGCTCTGCGGTCCCTGCGGGGGAGTCCCCACTCCCCAGTCCTGACCTGTGTGGCCGCAGGGCCCGGCACAGACGCCCACGTCCAGCCGGCGCTGGTGGGGTGTCCCCGGGTGGAAGGTCACCATTTGCCGGCGGCGCCGACAGGAGGGCGGTGGCCGGCGGCAGCCGCACTGCCGGGTCACCTCGCGGGCCACCACACCCCGCGGGGTGAAACGACGCTCCAGGGCGACCTCCACGGGCTGACAGCGACTGGGGCCTGAACAGGAGGCCTGGCGCGCGCGCCGCCGCAGGAACAGCTGCCGAGGAGGAGACAAACAGCACCTAAAGCGCAGCCTTCAGGAGGGCTATATCCAACAAGAAGTGAGCTCCGGCGAATCACCATGGTAGAAATTGAAAAAATAGTAAAATAGGGCGTTTTACCCACGCCGCATTTGTTCTCCGATCATTTAGACCTTAAATGAGAAAAGTCGCCGTTTATATAGGATGAAAAAGACTCCACATATCCTATTCCGGACATGGTGATGGTTGGCGACGTGATGTCAATTACAGAAAATCGAAATACCGATACCAAACCAAATACCAATCAAAACTGTGACAAAATATCGAAACCGAACCAACTTGGAAAAACGAGGAAAATACCAACATTATACCAACTTTTCAGCCTCTTATACATAAGTAAGGGCTCATAATACCAACAAAATACCAAACGCATCATGATAAAGATATCAAATTCCAAATTGGTATCGGTTTGGTATCGGTATACCAAAAAGTTGGTATCCGATTGACATCTCTGGTTGGCGATGGGTTACCGATAGTCGACAGTCGATAGTGGATGAGATTTCCTCACCTCGACAGGATCCGTATCGCGGTGCGAGTCCAGGAGCTGCAGGAACTGTGTCTTGGAGAGCCGTCCCGGACCGTGGCGACAGTGCCGCCGGCACTTGCCCACGTCGATTATAAGCTCTTCGCCGAAACTGTCTGCGAAACCAGAAGACTCAGTGATGAACGGGACAACGAAAGAAGTCAACGTGCTCGATCCGGACCTGCCCACACATAACTTTTATTCATGGGCTAAGAACGGTTAAACATGAGTAAACAGCTATAACGGTTTTAAAAATGCCACTTTATCTCCCCCACATGAGCAGATTTTCTTCTCCCAACTTATGCTTTAATGTGTAGGATGTGTTTTCTATTTGCAGGTGACGCATTGAATACCAGATGACGAAGGCCTCTGAATTACGGCTCTATTTCTGGGGCGATGTGTTATTTATGGCTGTTGGTAGCGGCGCCCGGTGGCATTTTATTGAAACGGTCAAAGGCCAACCACGTAACTATGCAGACAATGATTCGCCCTCGCTGCAGCAGCGGATCCTCTGCTGCAAACAGCTTGACTGTGCGGCGATTTGGTGTGAGCAACTGCAGGACAATTACTTCCCGCTACTTGTCGGCATAACATACCCCCTCAAGCCCACATCCATACTTGGATGAGTCAGTTTGGCTTGTTGGGGAAAATCCGTTTGAGAGTTGCCCATAAGAACCGTTTGATAGCTTACTGAGGGTATGTTTGGTCGTGCGCTCAAACAGCGCTGCTTAGCATATAGCGCCTGTTTGGAGAACGTCGTTGGTAAATGCAGTTCTGCTGAACAACATATGGGTTTTGTATGTATTTTGTTACCAAACACTTCCAATAATCAAATAACATCCCGACAGAAAAAGACGTTTTTTTCTCGAGGCTTGACGGGATGGCATGCATCGCCCGCATCAGATAGGCTCCATTCAACAGCTGTGGTCTACTTCCCAGTAAACTTCGGTCACCGTATATCCGGGGTTTCCGTGAACTGGGCACTGCTGTCGGTCAATCCTTCCCGGCACCTGGACCGAACCCATTCCATTCCGGCACAGCACCGATCTGATGGCCAGCTGCTGGACGGTGAGGTGCGGCGCGCTGGATGGCGTCACCAGGAGCCCGCCCCGGATGTCCGATGGTCGCGTGGGGATCGATATTGGCCGATGTTTTCTGAAGTAGATGAGCGGCTAACAAATGTCTGATATTTGCTAGGTGCGGTGCTGTTATCAGCCTGAGCACCTCAGGAGGGCGATTCCGCCAGCTCTTTGAGAGCTGACATGCAGTGTCGAACAAGCATGTTCCACAGCTGCAATTTCTAAAGACCAGCCCGTCGATTAGTAAGCATTTTATTTATGTAATTCCTGGCCGCCGTCGAATTCCAGAGCTGGTCTACTTGTTGGTTACATGCTAGGTGTATTCATTTGGAAACCACATGCAAATTTTCATTTATTTAGGGCTTTTCACTTTTATGTGAAAGACGGAAAACCAAAGCTGAATTTTCGGGGTAAAAGAAAAATTGTGGGACAGGCTGATCACGATGTGGGGGTAGCATGTTACACATCTTTTTCGTGGTTCCCTCAGAATTATAACGACCGCTAACCATTTTATCGTAGTCGACCGTACATAAGTCTCAACACGTTTTCTGTACCAGGATAGTCTCACTCTTCCGTATTATGAACTGTCTTCATCTTAGCAAATTTCTTAACGAATTATTTGTTAAATTAAATTTGCGTTTAGAGCCCAAGTTCATTTACCACCTCAGATTCGATGTCGTTATTACCGCTTTTTATTATTGTTACAAAGGATAGGCTCCAGTTGAAGTAAACAAACCATAGGCCTCATTTCCTCAAATGACGACGAACAAATCGGTGACTGAAGTGACCCATCCGTCCCCGCCCGCTCCCCACTCACCAAGCCCCACCGGCACAAAGTGCTGTTCCCGCCGACAGCAGACGTCCGCGGCAGAGTCCACGTCCAGTTCCCGGTCAGCGGCGTCTATCTCCAGAGCTGTCTCAGAGGCCGGCGCGGCCCCAACCCTACCTAACACACCCCCTACCATCACCGTCACCGTCAGTAGACACATCAGCGCGGCGCTGGCGCACGTCAGTCGGCACATGATGTCGGGAGGGCAGATTGGCGTCGACTGTGCGCCGTCCTCCGGTGGTCTCCGGTTACCCTCTGTGACGGACGTCATATCGCCGTACGGCGGCAGCGGCGGCGGCGGCGGAGGAGGTGTCGACATGCCGGCCGAAGCTCCGCCGCCTCCGAAGCTCGGCTGCCCCCCCCCCCGCCATTGGCTGCCTCCGTAACCCGTCGGCACGTGCGGTCGTGTAAATTGCACCGCCCCGGGTTCTATGCTCCGCGAAGGTCCCACTGTCCTCAGCTGAACACTTAGCCTAGCCTCAGCGAAATGGCCTGAAGGCGTGTCTCAAGACATTTTTTTGTAAATAGACAGGTAAAATTGCAGTAGTTGGCATTACTTTGGCGTGATCTAAATATATTAGTTAGCCAATGCAAGGTGGATTATTATAGACGGCGATTTCTGGCAAAATGAGAAAATGACGATTACTAAATCGAGGGGTATCAATTAATGTATGAGCTTAGTCATTCATCCTGACTATGGCCCAAAATATGTTGAAGATATGAATCGTTACACGACATGCGATGTGGCGAAATTTGACCAAATCTGCACCAAGCCTCTTATATCTTCTCACCATAAATTCGTTTCATTGTTTTAATCGAAAATAATGCTTGGTAATTTGAAAAAAATGAAGTGTATATAAACATTTGTGCAACCCCAACTGATTAATTTTAAGAAACCCACTGAACCGAACTTGACCTAATCGGCACCAAATCTGTACCTAATCTACATCAAATGTGTGCCAAATGGCCGTCATGAAAACGGACATTAAAGGCCGGGCTCCACTACGCGTTTTTTTACGCGCGTTTTATCCGAGACATCGGTTTTTGCGTGAAATCGGTTTTGCAATTTGTCGGTTTTTGCGTGATATCGTTTTTTGCTTGTCATCCTGAAGCACGTGACATTGTTGTCATTAAACCCAGGCTCCACTACGCGGAAAATCACACTTTGTTTATTTTGAGCCTATAACCGCAGGTTGTTTGAAAAGACAAACACTATTCGTTAGAATTGTGTTTTTCTATTGAAAAACAACCGGAGCGGTCGTTCTCCGGGCTATGTTTTGCAAGTCTGGCAGCGAATTGGGGCAACTTGACCGGTAACCGCAGGTTGTTTGAAAAGACAAACACTATTCGTTAGAATTGTGTTTTTCTATTGAAAAACAACCGTAACCGCAGGTTGTTTGAAAAGACAAACACTATTCGTTAGAATTGTGTTTTTCTATTGAAAAACAACCGGAGCGGTCCTTCTCCGGGCTATGTTTTGCAAGTCTGGCAGCGAATCGAGACATCTTGATTGGGGCCTAGACGAAATGTACAATCTTCGTAAAAAGTTCAGTGTATGGGCTCCCGGAGGCGATCTACCTTATGGCACCGGTCGCTACTCGCTTAAAACCTCGTGGCACGTGGCACGTGCGATTCCATTTTCCCCATGTTAAGTCAACGGGGTTTTGGACACTTTTTGCGCGATCGCCAATGGCGGGAAAACGAGCCAAGAAGGAGGTGGTTTTCTTCCCAGCATTTTATGGCAAACACGTTTGGGTACACGCCAGTGTGCGCTGTATACCCCTCAGAATCTCGGAACGTGTCTTTGCACGAGATCAAAGTTGGAATTTTGCTGTGTCCCATGTTAAGTCAATGGACGGCGATGTCGAGACTTTGCAGAGACATTTTCATTCGATCTTTGTACAAAATTTTAGAGATAGATTTCGCCCAAACTCTGATATCTTGTAGAGGAAAGAGCGTAGTACATGCTGGTATGCTTCGTTAAGCTGGCAGAAATCGTTTTTTCTTATAAAGTTTATTTGAAATTTAAATTTTTTAACATGGAAAGTCAATGGGAGCGTCTTTGTTGCTTAATAACTTTTTACGTTGCAGATGTATCAAAGTGAAAAGTTAATAAAATATACAACTTTCGATGCTCTTTCCAACAATGTATAGAACGTCACTGCACGATGCGCCGTTTCTAAGAAAAGTTGTAAAAAAGCAGGGCTCGACTGTGACTTGAACCCAACCACATTAAAATATACGAACAGGTGACGGGGATACCTCCCGTGTGCGGATGCGACACTGATTATTGCTAAATATTAGCAGTCGGCCGCCGTGGGGGCGCCTTTACAAACCTTATATCTCTGCAACCACTGGACCGATTCACTCGCGCTCTTTTGTGTGGGATAATTTCTTCCTTTCCCAAACGTAGTGTGCTACTCTCGATGCGTATGGGTGACCCCTAATGCACGTGCCACGTGCAAAACGAAGAGGTGTCAGTTCGGTAGCAAGTGTAATAACTCTAGTTATTTTGCCGAATACGCTGATCCTTAGCATGGATGTAGGCACCCGCCCCGCAATGCATTTCCATGTGTCACGGTTGGGGTGCCGCTGCACGTGCGCACGGGCAGGGTGACGCTTCCAGATCTGGAGAACGGCTGGGCCGATTGTGATCAAAGTTGGCACACCGCTAGGGCTCGGCGAGTAGGGTGCCGTGCACAAGTCAGATGGGTCCCAGTTTGCACGTGCGCACGTGCAGGCTGACGCTTCCATATCTCAAGAACGGCTGGACCGACTGTGCTCAAATTTGGCATACCACTAGAGACTAGTTAGTAGGGTGTACCCAGTTTGCACGTGCGCACGTGCAGGCTGACGCTTCCATATCTCAAGAACGGCTGGACCGACTGTGCTCAAATTTGGCATACCACTAGAGACTAGTTAGTAACCGCAGGTTGTTTGAAAAGACAAACACTATTCGTTAGAATTGTGTTTTTCTATTGAAAAACAACCGGAGCGGTCGTTCTCCGGGCTATGTTTTGCAAGTCTGGCAGCGAATCGAGACATCTTGATTGGGGCCTAGACGAAATGTACAATCTTCGTAAAAAGTTCAGTGTATAGGCTCCCGGAGGCGATCTACCTTATGGCATCGGTCGCTACTCGCTTAAAACCTCGTGGCACGTGGCACGTGCGATTCCATTTTCCCCGTGTTAAGTGAACGGGGTTTTGGACACTTTTTGCGCGATCGCCAATAGCGGGAAAACGAGCCAAGGAAGAGGTGGTTTTCTTCCCAGCATTTTATGGCAAACACGTTTGGGTACACGCTAGTGTGCGCTGTATACCCCTCAGAATCTCGGAACGTGTCTTTGCACGAGGTCAAAGTTGGAATTTTGCTGTGTCCCATGTTAAGTCAATGGACGGCGATGTCGAGACTTTGCAGAGACATTTTCATTCGATCTTTGTACAAAATTTTAGAGATAGATTTCGCCCAAACTCTTATATCTTGTAAAGGAAAGAGCATAGTACATGCCGTTATGCTTCGTTAAGCTGGCAGAAATCGTTTTTTCTAATAAAGTTCGTTTGAAAATGAAAATTTTTAACATGGAAAGTCAATGGGAGCGTCTTTGTTGCTTAATAACTTTTTACGTTACAGATATATCAAAGTGAAAAGTTAATAAAACATACAACTTTCGATGCTCTTTCCAATAATGTATAGAACGTCACTGCACGATGTGCCGTTTTTAAGAAAAGTTGTAAAAAAGCAGGGCTCGACTGTGACTTGAACCCAACCACATTAGAGTATACGAATAGGTGACGGCGATACCTCCCGTGTGCGGATGCGACACTGATTATTGCTAAATATTAGCAGTAGGCCGCCTGTGGGGTGCCTGTACAAACCTTATATCTCTGCAACCACTGGACCGATTCACTCGCGGTCTTTTGTGTGGGATAGCTCCTTCCTTTCTTACACGTAGTGTGCTACTCTCGATGCGTATGGGTGACCCCTAATGCACGTGCCACGTGCAAAACGAAAAGAAGTCAGTTCAGTAACAAGTCTAATAACTCTGTAGTTAGTTTGCCGATTGCGCTGATACTTGGCATGGTTGTAGGCACCCGCCGCGCAATGCATTTCCATGTGTCACGGTTGGGGTGCCGCTGCACGTGCGCACGGGCAGGGTGACGCTTCCAGATCTCGAGAACGACTGGGCCGATTGTGATCAAAGTTGGCACACCGTTAGGGCTCGGCGAGTAGGGTGCCGTGCACAAGTCAGATGGGACCCAGTTTGCACGTGCGCACGTGCAGGCTGACGCTTCCATATCTCAAGAACGGTTGGACCGACTGTGCTCAAATTTGGCATACCACTAGAGACTAGTTAGTAGGGTGCCGTGCACAAGTCAGTAAGTATGTATTTTCATGTGCCGCGGTTGGGGTGCAGCTGCACGTGCGCACGTGTAGGGGTCGTTTCCCGATCTTGGAAACGGCTGGGCCGATTCAGATTAAATTTGGTACATCGCTAGAAACCGGCGAATAGAGTGCCGTGCACAAGTCAATTAGGGCCCAGGCTGCACGTGCGCACGTGCAGGGTCACGCTTCCAGATCTCGAAAACGGCCGGGTCGATTGCACTCAAATTTGGCACACCGCTATAGACCGGCGAATAGGGTGCCGTGCACGTCAGTCCGTAGCACACCGACTCCGGTCTGCACGTGCAAGGCTCATCCTCTCGTTTGGCGGCGGGCGTTTTTGCTGCGTTTCCAAAGGTGCTTGCTCAAACAACCTGCGGTCCAGCGATGCGGAGCCCAGCATCGCAGATGCTGGTAACCGCAGGTTGTTTGAAAAGACAAACACTATTCGTTAGAATTGTGTTTTTCTATTGAAAAACAACCGGAGCGGTCGTTCTCCGGGCTATGTTTTGCAAGTCTGGCAGCGAATTGGGGCAACTTGACCGGGGCCTAGACGAAATGTACAATCTTCGTAAAAAGTTCAGTGTATGGGCTCCCGGAGGCGATCTACCTGATGGCACCGGTCGCTACTCGCTAAAAAGTCTTTTGCGCGTGGCACGTGTGATTCCATTTTCCCCATGTTATGTCAACGGGGTTTTGGACACTTTTTGCGCGATCGCGAATGGCGGAAAAACGAGCCAAGGAAGAGGTGGTTTTCTTCCCAGCATTTTATGGCAAACACGTTTGGGTACACGCCAGTGTGCGCTGTATACCCCTCAGAATCTCGGAACGTGTCTTTGCACGAGATCAAAGTTGGAATTTTGCTGTGTCCCATGTAAAGTCAATAGACGGAGATGTCGAGACTTTGCAGAGACATTTTCATTCGATCTTTGTACAAA